ACCTTGCACGTATTCGAGTGCTACGCACAGAAGACACGGCACAGAGACCGGTTAAGCTTCGGAAATGCATTTCCTTGCACTGTCTTGAGCAAAGAAGGTCCCAGACCATATATATGACCCAAACAAGGGTGTAGGAGGCTCACCGGCTATCAGGGGAGTCCACCGGCCATCCATCGGCCACCAAACAAGGTCATCGGCCAAATATTTGGCCGACCGGCCAAAAATGCCTGTATCGGGGCAGTTTCGACATTTCGGCACGGCTCTTTAAATATAGGGCTTTTAGCTCTATTTCTTCACTTGCCTCAAGCTCGAAAACTCTCCCCCTTTCTCTCTAGGTCATTTTTCTTCCTTCGATCCATCATTTTTCTCGGTTTTCGAGCCCGTTTCAACGTTTGATTCACGAAACCCTCGTTGTTTCAAACATTTTGAACCGAACAAAATTTGTTTTCAGTGTCTCTTTCTCGATTTCTACCACTCGGGGTTTGTTTCCTTCGAGTTTACCTTGATTCTCGTGCCTTTTCGGCACCCCGACCTTTCCGGCCATTTTTCACCCTCCCGGGGTTGACTTTTTAGTTGACTTTTCATATTCTCGCCCGATTTTCACATTTCCGGCCATTTTCACGCTACCCTTGAGATGGCAGGCGATATTCCAGGCGGTGGGGCTCCCCCAGAGATGGACGTGGACCCAGAGGCCCAGTTCTTGCCTCTTTACATCCGGCCGTTCAATCCGGCGGCCTACAGGCCGATGATTCACGTGTTGCCTCTTGATGGACTTTGCCAGTTCAGGAGTTTTGATAGGGCTGTGCCACTAAAGCTTCTTCTGCGCGAGCCAGAGTCACATCTGTCATACAGTGCTTCCGAGGTACATTCTTCCCCGTTTCATTTTCTGCAAAGTAGAATATACAACTGCAATACTTGATTCTGTCTTTTAAATGTTTGGCCCGGATACATCGATATACCATATGTTGTAGTTCACTGCGAGCACACTTGCACCTGATATCTGCTTGCAACTGAAAACGTGCACACACGCTGTATTTCATTGAACCACACGAACATACTGATACATCATACACTGTAGTTCACTGTGAGCACACCGGCACCCGATGTTTGTTTGAATCTGAACACGTGCACATACGTTGTATTTTTGTCAATTCTGAATGTTCTTCAAAACTGTATATTTAACATTGCTTCGCAACTGTTTGCTTTCGAATACAGGGGGATTCCCATGCCTTCTGGGGGTATGGGAATGTTGTCCCCCGTGGATGGTACTTGGAGCTGCCTGACGCAGTCCGCCACATCGTCGACCAGGCCGGCTTCGGCACTTTTTGCAGGGGCTCTCGCGCCTTATTGCGAGTAGGCCTCTCCTTGCTGCTCTGGTGGAGAGGTGGTGGGACACCACCGATTCCTTCCACCTCTTTGCCACGGGAGACATGACGATGACTCCCTTTGACTTCTCGATGCTCACCGGCATCAGGGTAGGGGTGATCCGATCTCCTTTGACACAGATATGGATGAGTGGGAGGCCGCCCAGATGTACCTGCTTGGCAAGCTGCCACCTCTTGCCCGTCCAGGATTTGTCAGATATTCGTGGTTCGAGGAACCACTTCAGGATTCAGCCAGCCTTGGCTGAGGAGGCACCGATGGCTCAGGAGGAGGCAGAGCTGTATGCACGCGGCTTCCTTATGTTTTTGCTGGGAACGACTCTCTTCGCCGACTGGGCGAACACCGTGCCCCTTTGCCTGTTGAGTGCACTGGTTGACGTGATCAGGATCCGCGGCTACAACTGGAGTGGCACAGGTTTGGCCACACTCTATGGCTATATGAGTTCATCCTCCCGCCTCAGCGGACAGCTGCTCGGAGGCTATTGGCGGGCTTGGGAGGTACGTCTTCTTCTTCTGTTTCACATTTCTGCTTTACATTCTCTGTACTCTGTATACTGTACACACTGTGATCTTCGTCACACTGGTC